ACATCTACTAAAGTTTCTCCAATAATGCTCTCTGCCTAATTGCTTAGTCTTTCCTGTAATACTTCCTGTAAGAAGGAACTACAGTTGGGTAATCCTCTGCAACACAAAGACAGATTTTATAGCAGAGGATTTCTCCAGAACATACTGCAGGGAGGGACAGCACTGTAAGCCTTTCCTTCCCAGAAAGGAGAGACTGGCAGAGAAAGCTCCGAAGTGTAACACTGCTGCTGCCTGGGAGTGGCATGTGAGCAAAACACTGATTTTTTTCCAAAGACGTTCTATCACCACTTCTCACCTCTCCAGCTGTAGTGTGTGAGTTGATTGTAATCTTACAGGAGCCCCCACCATGGCAATAAACTGTGGATGTCATCTCCTGCCTGCCAATCAGCGCTTCTATTTCATCTCGTGATGGCACAAACTCTCTGCATTTGGTTTTCTTCAGAGATTCGTAAGTAAAAAGTGCGTATTTCTCCATTTCAGTTCCTGGAAACTGGTCACGAACCCTGTGAGACAAAGCTTATTACTTTAAGCTGCCAGTTTGTGAAGTTTGCTTATTTGAGAATTTTTTCCCCCTGAGAGTATTTCTGTATCCAGTACACTGTTTAATTGACATGCTCCAAGTACAGACAAAGCTTTTAAATTATTGAGTTTGTTGGTGGACTAACTTTCCTAATTACACACTCTGCATTCTTCCATTGCATCACAGTAAGAGGAACTCCACATTCAGGTTAATGCTGAACTGACAACAATGATTCATTATTATTTAATGTTCACTAATACTTTAAAATCAGATTTGCAATCGTAGGTTTGTACCTCAAATACATATTTAATATGATACTGTTCTTTTATGTGCATGATGAATATCTCATAAAATTAAGGGGCATGAAGAATTTTTGACAGGTTGGTTTGGACAGATGAGAATGGGACCTGGGGATATGGGCTGAAAGTCATTTAAGTTTATAGAGTTACAGGAAACGCCTCTTTTGCCAACATTAACAAACTGTGCATTCATCTCTGTGGCACTTTGCTTGATTCTTCAAACGTGTGTAATTCCACCCAGACCAACTCACACACACTTCTTCTATAACAGTTTCTTTTTAGATTCACTGTTTGGCATAGCCAGTTTCCTAATACATCTTCAAGTCTCACTTCTAGATATCTAAACACTGTTACGAGTTGTGGTATAGATCAAAGGTTCTCACCTTTTGAGATGAAACTTGAGATATTTGAGGATGCTGCGACTGGGCAGAAATGTGCAACTCATGCAGGTGAGTATTTGCCAACTATAGAGGTTCCCCACGCTCCCGGGGTTAGGCACTTTATTGGTTTGCTTGATGAGCTGACAGTAGAGCTCATCTCGGAGAGGTCGTAAATCGTGTCCTGTTTGGAGGATACCTTGGATTATAGGGATGGGATCAGACATAGACTCCAGCTGCTGTAAAGAATTAAATATCTTGATGGCTTCATCCTGCAGAGTTGTGTAGCCTTTGTCTTTCAGCACTACAAAAGAAATTTTGGAAGAAATTTGCTTAGACTGAGGTATGAAAGAAAAAACACTCAGGCTTAATGTGGAAATTGCTTAATGCTACTCTATGACCCTTGGGATGCAGGATATTAGAATCTATATTTTCCACTTCAAATGTAGGATGCAAACTCATTTTATGAGCTAATTTGCGACTGAGATTTATTCCAGATTTAATAAGTGAAAAGGTGTATCTTGATTGATTGTTTTTTGTGACGGAGAGTTTTTCCTTTCAGAGTGAGCCACATTGCTAAGTGCCATATCACACTCCATATTGACCTCCTACCTTCCTCCCAAGAATGAAACTTGTAGTCTGAGTAATATCTTGTTTAATATGCAGTTGCTAACTAAGATAACCAAATACTTTTTAAGGACACCAAGTTCACAATCATCGATGGCTCTGAACCATTCCTTCAAAAGAGACTTCTAAATTATTGCTTGAATCAAGAATATTGAAAGAGATTATCACACTCATTTCTGGACTAAACGAAGCATTACTTTTTAAACCCATGCACACTCCTAAATATTATTTCCCATAAGTAAGGCTTCCTGTCCCATCTTATAAAACATACACCTGTTAATTGGAAGCTGTGGCTGCTGCAGCTTTCTGCATGGGGTAGGAAGCAACAATAATTTGAGGAGGAGAATATGATTCAAGGAGACTGAGTGAATCAGGTTTAGTTGCTTATTTAAGTGCAAGACTTTTCAAACTCAGTCTTCTTAGCTGTATTGCTAAAAGCAATAGCAACCTTCCCTTCTGTAACACTCTTGCAGGAACATCACAAGCCCATGGCTCTGTGCTAGGCAAACTGTTATTCTCAAAAGAGACCAGGGAAACTTGTCTATTTCTATTATAAGCATGTATTTTGCCACCATTACTTCACTGTAGACTTAAAATTTCCATCCTCTGGTTTAGTATTTCACAAGGAAAGTGGTTCTATTATTGGAAAACTTACAGTTTAGATTGATGTCCCCATATGGCAGTGGCAGTAATGGTGAGTGCAATGGATGATGAGTGTAACGGAGAATAGGATTCCTCTTATAAATCTGTTCAACCACATCAGCATTCAGGCAGTTTTCCTATAGGGGTTAGGAAAAAAACAGGTTTGGGGGTCCAGCTTTAAGAATAATGCGATGCTTTGTGCCCTTAGGTTGGTTGTAAAAAACTGAGCAATCAGTGTTACCAACACTATTTGGTGTGAAATCCAGTTGTGGGTGCTGTGGCTGCCATGGCATGCTCTGGGCTATGAAAGCTCAGTACCTGCTAACTTCAGGCCTTGGACAGGCTTGCTTTATCTGTGCAGTAAGAAAAACTATAGCAGAGCTGCAGGACACCAAAATGAAGTACCATAACAATTTTTGAGGTGTGTTTTCATTTTATCTTCATTTTTACTCCAGTAATTCATAATGGCAAATATGACATTTGTATTCAAGTTTTATTTAGAAGTATTTCTCCCGCATAATTAATTAGCCTGTCAGTTAGAAACTGCACGAGCTACCAAAAAAAATAGTCCAAAGTGCTGCTGTAAACCTGGTGCACCCACTCTAACATCCAAATACTGCTCTTACTGTTCTTCTTAGGCCAAGTTTGACAGATGTGTGATCACTGTCTTCGATCAGTCCTGAATTCCATGTATTTCTCCTGCTCTGAAGAATAGCATTCTTGATCTTGGAGCTGAAAACTTAATACCTCTTTTCCATGACAGAAGAGATGGCACTCTCTACGGGAAAAGATCAGTAGAAATTCTCCCCTCTTGCCTATTTCTTTGGTCTCTTGTTAGAATCAACATCCTCTCTCATAAATGAACATTAGCAAAAAGCTCCAGAAGGACATTCTCTGGCTGTGCATGCACTGTCTCCAATGAGATCATAAAGCAGTAAGCATTAATTGAACGCTTTTCTCATCAGACAGAGATATGAGATGCTTAGTTCAGGCTATCAAAAAAAGGAAAGGACAATAATGACAGAAGAAAAAGAAGAGATGTTTAGCCTACATCCTGATGTGCTGCTCACTGTGGACTGAGCCAAACACGTCTGCTAACTCATGAACCTGCACAATGTGCTCTACTGCCAGGTGTAGCCATGTCTGTCAAGTTACACAAACCAATAAAACTTGTTACTCTTTTAATGGCAGGAAGTCATCCCTCTTGCCCTCCAAGCTGCAATTCAAAGTTTGCTCTTCTACTGTTTAGACAGAAATTCCTTTATCAGGTCAGAGAATACATTCAGGTTTCACAATTTTAGTCCATGTCACTGTGTAATTAAAATATAATTTTATGCTTTATTACCCAATATGGCAAAGCCAAAACAAAGATTTAAGGAACCATTCTTTTTCACTCCACGCCATCCTACTTGTGCCTACCTTAATATCCTGAATAAGCTGCTGAGTTGGAGTATCAATGGGTGCCTTTGTGTCAATCACGTTCTGGATGGCACTTGACCAGCGGGTTGCCTCATTGAGCAATTTCGTATGGAGGCGGTAACAGTGTTTGCGTCCGTACACAGTCACATTCCAGTAACCTGGCACAACAGCAAAACGGGTCATCAACAAGCTGCACCCCAGCAGACACCCAGTGCTGCATCCCAGATCATGTTGGCAGTCCCTCAGGAACTAAAGTTGTGTGAGTTATTAAGTATCATAATACAGATACTGTGGTATTAAAGGAGATTTACTTTAAAGAAGCCTAGGAGTAGTCTCAGACTACAACTATGCATCATGGAGACCCCTGTTTAACCCAGTAAAAATCACTGTAAGACAACACCGTTAACACTGTGGAATACTCTTAGGTCCTTGAAGCTTATGGGCCCTACTTCTCCAGTTCTGTCTGTAACAGGAAAATCTGAGACAGACTTGCTTTGTACACGAGAGTCTTTTCATAGTCTGTGGCACACATACAAACGGGCATAAAGCTCAAACTACCTCCTCTGTCTTTAATTTTACACCAATGAAGTGGAAACTATGACAGGAAGAGCATTTCAGTTCAAACTCTTTCTCTGCATCATTGTATAGGCTTTTTATGAAACAGATTCAGTAAAAGGAAATGTGTTTCATCTTTCACTAGTGAAAACCTCTTTGAAGTGTCAGTGACCCCAATAAGATAATACAGGACTGTCAGCAATTGCTTCTCATTTGCAAACAGACACTTCTGAGTTGAAAACCAGTTCTGAAAATGCTCACTGGAGCTGACTCAGGTGCAGTATGTAGGTTACCACAAACTGGACTCTTACTCTGCATCTCCCTATCCCTGCTCCAATGTTGGCCCTCATAGTTCCTCAGCACATAAAATAATGTATGAGGAGAATGCTACCTATGTCTTTGATGTGTAAGTGTAAGTGCTCATGCTAACTTGGCAGCAGTGTCAGCCTGTAATAATTTGAATGTTGGTGAGAAAAAATTTTACCCCTCTATACATCACCTTTGTTTTTCACCCAGTAATTCCCTGTTGAATACCTCAGTGACTTGGGAAACAGATTTGCTCATGGAACTGCACCCATAATAATCCATTTAAAATATTCTTTGTTTCATATTTAAAATATGCATTGTTTCTTGCATTACTAGCTAGAAGGATAGAAGGCATACTTGAACAAGAGCAAACAATTACCTGTCTCTTTGAAGATTTTTTCATCAGGTGGGACCACTGAGCAGAGGCTGTTCAAGACCAGTGTACCCAATTTCAGAGCATTTTTCTCTGAACTCTTGTAGTAGTCCAAAGAATTGTGCGTTAAAACAAACCAACGCTTCTTTAGTTTTAATGAGGACATCTTTGGGTTGTTCTTTACTTCCTTGTGTAGCCACCCTGTTAAGGACACAATTTAAATCTACTTCTTTTTCTTCAACAGAGTTTGACAAAAGTAGGTTGCTAAAGTTAGTTGTATACTTTTAGCAACAACAAATAACATTGTGTGAATTAATAGGCTCATATATGAAACAACGTCGAGTAAAATTCTCAAACATTGAAATTATAAGGATAAAATTACTATGAAAACCTTTCAATTTTGATGTTTCACTAGAAGAATTATCTTGTCAACTTGCAAAAACACTTTTGTCATCATTACAGTTTTCTTACATGGCACAGATGAATATAATTTCAAATGTATTAATTTGTGAGTACAGTCCACCATACAAAGATGAAGCTGCAACATTAATCATGTTGGTGTATTACCCATATTGTATGGTGGGAACAATCTCTTCAAAGCACAACGGATGCTATTTACTTTTTACTGCCCCACTCAGTTCTTACCCCTCACAATGAATTCTTGTCCCTCCACTCTAGTGTCCCCCTTTGACCTCTGGAGCAGGGTTATCCAGTGATGCATCTCTTCAGGAGTGTCAGCATTACAGTGAAGAACACGATTAGCAGTGATGATCACAAATGAATTGGGTCTGTGAAAATAAATGACAATTGAAACAGCCTTTATAATCAGCATACATAGTTTATCTCACTCCCCATTGTTTGCATCTTCTATCCAGACAAATACTGTCCACCTCTAATGCATTATTTAGTTATCACCTAAAGAAAAATATTAAGCATTTAAAAAGACTCAGTTATGTTACGTTCACACCAAAATGCCAGGGCTACGAATGGTGGGAAAGTTTGCATTAAATTGCAACTTGTCATATCTCAAAATAAATCTGTGGTGAGAAAAACTTGCAAACTTTAATCAGCTTTGCATGTGAATCAGAACTGTTTCAGGGTCAATCTATTTAGATTGTCTGCTTCAGTAGGTAGCTACATTAGCTAAAACAAACTACAGTATACAAAGGTCTATAGTAAAGCAGCGTGTGAACATGGATTCTTTTATTTTTAATGCAGTGCAACCCAATTCACAGAGAATACAATCTATTTTTAATGAGAGTCTGGCTTTTACCCAATCCTACACTAGGATTCACTGAAGCATAAAGAACTAGCCCAAGAGAAGTGTGCTGATGTCTCTCTGGATCAGACAGGCAGGTTCCTCAGCCTACTTGCTGCTTGCTTTAACCCTTTACCATTATTTTTTTCATCTGAAACAAATCCCCAAAACATAACATAAAATCCCCCCACAAGACTAAAAAAATCTCTATGAAAAATGCTTGTAAGAGAAATGCTTAACTTACTGCATTAACTTAAAGCAGGAGAAATGCTAATTTAAAATTGTGAAAGCTCTGGACATTTGTGTTGTATTGTTTTGGAAACCCGGGCTTGTAAATTCACTGTTACTTCTGTATCAGTGTTTTGGTGGGCCAAGGACAAAGCACTAACTTAAAACCAGCTGATTTACACATGTATACAATGAGGAGAAACTGGAGTGAGCCCCTACAGCTCAAATAAAACCAGCAACCTTATAAACCAGTCTGAACCCAAATCACTTTTTATTTCCCTAAACACCATTAGTAGTTCAAGAAGTAAGAATAACCTAACATTTTGGTTGTTTTTATGCTGCACTGTCTTCTTTGTTAAAAGACATTTTATTCTGAGGAAATAATTTTCATCCCTGAAGAATACAACATTCATGAAGGAGAAGCTGAACAGAAAAAAAAATTAATTTTCTGCGTACTACATTACTAAGGAACTCAAAAATCAGCTGTTCTTTTTTTCAGGAGCATTATTTGTATAAATGAAAGAAATATTTAATCTTCCAGTTTTGGATCAGTTTAGGAACTGAAGAGTTCAGGTATGAAGGAGTGTCACAGAAGTTACTGAAGCCCCCCCAAAATGCACCATCATTCCTATTACATGCTTTAACATGTGCTTTTTAGTGCTATGAAAAGGGAGGCAATAATGAGTAATTTTAATATATGGTTGGCCAGTAGAATATAGAGACTAAAGCATAAAGTGTGTGATTTTGGCTAGAGACAGGAGAAAAAGAAAGTCAGGCATGGTTCTGACTTACCTATCTGGATTGTCAGCAGCACAGACAGAATCAATTAGTCCTACATCGAGTGTACCCTATAAACAAATATCCAACCAGAAAGTGAGGAAGACATTTACTAATTACATTACTCAGAGTACTCTTCTGAGAGACAGGAGAAAGAAGCAGCAGCTTTGATCAAGCAAAATTAACTGCAGGTTTGGGCATCAGTTTCTCTTAACCACTAAAACTGCTGAGGGGACAACTAAGAGACTTGGATGAATAGATCCAGTAAAACATTATTTGTAGTTAGGATGCAGGCAACTCAAAAGCTGCTCTTTTCTATGCTTCCAAACATGCTTGAATTTTTCACTGAAAACTGCCATCCCAATATAAATTATATCCTCTGAAAACAAACTTCTAAAGCCATTAAGCATAAGTTTTTGTTTTCCTTTGCTTGATATTAGGTTCCAAATGTATTCTATTAATTACCATGTATGTTGCACAGAATGATAAATGCAGGATCAGAGAAATCTCGAAATTTTAACTCTTGGGTTTTTAATTTACTCATTAACAGTATCTTTGCAAAATTTCAAAATCAAGTATACGCTGTGATGTAATAGTGAAGTGGACCAGAAAAAACCACCCCCAAAACCAACAGTCATTTTTCATCAAGGTGAATGATGGGAGAGGAATCAGAAGTCACACTCTCTCCTTGTACAGCTACAGGACCAAGGATATGGAAGCTCCAGCCAGTGTCACAGCTACCACCACATTTAGACAAAGTAGGTGGTGTCTCTCAGAAGCTGTGGCCGCCACAGTGCCCCTATTTTCTAAAAAATAGTTTGTTTGAAAAGTTCTTCAGATTTAGACTTACCACAGCATTCTGTGGATTCGCCTGCTCATCATGCATCTCCCGGATCTCCTGCTCTGTGGACGCATGGACTTGACTCAGTACACTGAACCACTGGCTGGGGAGAGAAAGGCAGCAGTGTAAGTAAAATTTTGGCTCTGCAAAAGCCCTCTGTCACCTTTGTTCTGCTGAGATCTAGCAGGTTCTACAGGTTTTTGAAATTGCTTAAGATTCCTTTTGTCAACAGGCATAAAAGCAGCATGGCTTTATGTCAGTTCAAGTAACACTGGGTGCAAGCAAGCCCCTCCAGGTCTCCCATCCAAGCTTGTGTCAGACCTTTCTTGCTGACAACAAGTACACTTGTACACTAAGTGAGATCTCTGAAAAATTGCTGTAAACACACTGAAACATCCGAGTGCTTGGAGAGTCTTTGTAACACATTCCACATGTTTCATCTGGAATAAAATACATTGCTAGCTACACACAAAGCCTTTAATGGGAATCCCAACCTTCAAATTATAAATTGTGTGACTGGTAGTGATTTTTTTACAGTGATATGTCTGCAAAGACCACTCAAGTCCATGGAGTTCTCTGTAGAAGTGCAAGTGAGAGGGAAAAGAGAATAAAACCCCCCAAGCAAATACCTCTACAGTTTTTGTTCTCTATGGAGAACTGAAAATCCAGCTGCAGGAAGGATGAGCAAATTTGTGCCACTCCAGTGGCACTGTATATATCCACAACAGGAAAAGTGGCACAGGTTTCCAGTGCTTCAGCCCCTAGTCCTGAGCAGCAATTGCAAATGGATTTAATCCCAGCCACACCTTCTGCTTCTGGGAAACCTCTATCCTTCTGGCACTTGTATATGATAAAGCTCAACTGCTCTAAGGAATGTCACTGAAATCTAAGGGCAGAGCTTGGCCTGTTCAACAGGTTTCTGAATGCTATTCTTTGAGATATGAATTTGCCATTCTAATGAAAACCACCTGGGGCCAAGTTTTCAAAGGGCTCAAAAGCCCAGCCTTTAAAATAGACTCCTCACTTTCCTCAAGGGGCTCCTCTGCCACCACAGGGTTGAGAAAACACTCAACCTACTGCCAAACTACTGGACTTAAATATGAAGTTATCTTTTCTGCAATTGCTTTTAGCCACAGATTTTTTGCCAAGGACTGAAGAAATGCCTCCTTAACCCCAGCATTCAAAAGCCAACCGTTCCCCCAAAATGTAGATTTCTGGAAACTGAACTGCTAAAATAGCTTGAGAAAAACTGTGTAGGCTGTCAAACAGTACCATCATTGCCATATCCTAAATTCTTTTTATCATCTCATGCTTTTATTAGAAACAGTGCAAGCAATGAAGAAAAACAAAGATTGAGAGTGCCAGACCATAAAGTAGATGAGAACATACTTAGTTCTGATTATTTTTTTAAGACCCAGAGACACCCACAGAGAGGCTGTACTTAACACTTTGCTGGATGTAAAGCAATACCACAAACAAAGGGGAGAAGCTGTCATCTAGAGAGGAGGAACCACCAGCTGAAGAAAAGCTGAAACTGAAGTAAAAAATCTGAACAAAACTAAGCCTCACCTACCAAACGATTCCCACAAATTAAATTCAGCTTTCCTTTCTGGGCTCAGGAATTGCAAATGTATTTATTTAGAAGTGAAACTTCTATTTCAATACAAAAAAAACCAAAACAAAAAACAAAACCAACAACAAAAAACTTCATAGCACTGTATGCACATCTAGTGGTAATTTATGGATGGATTTTAAAGAACAATTCAGAGTTTTCCTGATTTCATTTAATCTTTGTGTAAACAATGAAAATGAAATTAATCATGGCACCTTGCAAAAGACAAAGGCAGACTTTATTTTTGCTTTCTTCCCTCTCAGGACCTCCTTTGTTTTTCAGCTGAGTCCCAGAACAGAGAAACAGGGAAAAAGGCTAGAGATTTGAAAGGAACAAACTCTCAGCAGTGGCTGCCCACTGAAGCATTACTTCTTCAATAATAGTAACTCCTCTTCTGGGGGCCTGTGCCATGTTTTTCTTGGTTTTCCCCTTAATTTGAATAAAAAGCAACCTCAGATCCTGATCTAACCCAGGTACAAAGTATTTTTTCAATAGCAGATGTGGACCAAACACATCCCAATGATTCATACTTCACTTTCCACAATGCTTTGTTAACAAGGCTTTGACTTAAGTGTGTCTGCAAATCCTTACACATCTTCCTTGTTAAGTCTTCTGGAATGAGTGAGAAAAAAGGAACAGGAAATACACTGGTAAAAGGTAATTTAATCTGGATGGTTTGTTATTCATAATATACACAACATGAGTGTGTAGTGTCTCCTCCTCATCTTTAAGAAAGACATGAAGGAGATGCATGGCAACAGACAAGTCTGTGTGCTGATAATTGCTTATTGGTCCCTAGGGCACACACACAAGTCTGGTGGAAGAGACTTCAGCTAAGCCTTCATTTTAAAATATGCTTACATCCCACAAGATTCTTAACAGTAACTGCTAGAAAGCTCCTAAGTTATTTCAAGGATAATTTTAAGGATACCTAAAAAAATGTGAACGGATTTTGTATTGCTACATCTACATCTGTATTCAGGGTCCTATGATATAGGAAGGCATTCTACCTTTGCAAAGAACAGAATATGAAAGAACTTTTGAGGCTTCTGAGCGAAGTAGCTCAAGTGATGTTGACAAAGGCCTGTATTCTGGCCTTGGGGCAGCAGGGCAATGGGTAATAAGCTCTGATTAATAAGTTAACTTTATTTAAATGCTTGACTTTTATAGGCAGGCATATTATTATCTTGCATGAACTGTAGCATGGGGATTTTTTTTTTCTAAGATGCTCTACAACTGATCTGACAAGTCAGACTTGCTCCTCACTCACCGCCCCCATGGTTAGATATGGATCCTTTAGCAATAAAAGCAAGACCCTTTTTAAATATGCAGAATGGGAAGCACTCTCTTACACACTCCTCTTACATGAATATGCTTTTGCTCCAAAATACAGTGACCACATTAAAACTTCTATCTGAAAAAATTTTAGGTTCTGCTTAAAAAACAGATCTCATCCCTAAGAACAAAGTGCTTCATTTCAGCCAGACTGCAGGGTCTCAAATACTGATTTGATTAATGCAGCTAAACACAGCAGGGTAATCCACAGGCCAAGCATCAGTGGCTTGCAAATTGTATTTCAGACAGTTGCTAGCAACACATGGATAAGAGCCAAATTCTAGGCAAATTTTCATTGGCAATCTGACTCTTCCCAGTAATTGTCTGCCACAAGGTTTTTTCCTCAGCAAGCCTTTCAAAAAGTGTGTTAAATGCAATGTGTTTAACACAGCCTGAATATTTTGTGGCAGTGGTCAAACAAATTAGTGAGAAGCCAAAGTCAGAATGGCATAGAGGTTAAAAAGAAAAAGAAAAGGAAAAGAAGATAGGCTCAGTGATTTTCATACCTTGCATCCTCAGGAGATTCAGCAATTAAGTGGTAGGTCCTATCACTCATTATTAGATCAATACCATTTTCTTTGCCTGTATTATCAACAATTTCTCTGAAAAAAAGGAAAACGCCAAGAATGAGCATTACAGATTATCAACATTTTGAAAATTCTGTTCTGCTGAGAAGCTCACAAACTACTGATACTTAAAATAACAGCAGTCAGTCTTCATCAGGTTCATTTGCAAGACTCACAAAGTGATTTATCAGACCCAGTATTAATTTGCCAAACTACAACTGTGTTTTCTGCCTACACAGTACAAATATTCAAACTACTATGAATGTCACTACACCAAAGTGACCATTCTGTTACCATTTTACCAAGAACCAAAGAAAAAGAAAAGCATTTTCAAACCCCAAGAGAGGCAAAGATAACTGAGCTAAGAAACTGATCTATTTCTGGACTGACTGCATAACCAAGTGATTTTTTGAGTGCTAAAAAGAAAGATGTTGGAGATTGAAAACTGAAAGTAAACAAAACCTGGATTAGTGATTCTGGTGGTTGTGAGTCAGCATAAAGACAATTCCAAACATGACTTCCAGAAAAAGCTGAGCACTCATCTGCTGAAAAATTAAGTAGTTCTGATTTTTAGTTTGGACATCTAAGTATTGATATAAAAACAACTGTGAAGATTTTAGCAATGATTCATGTATGTCATTAGATTTCCCTGTAACTTAAGAAATAAATCTAATTTCCTATTTGCTGTTTTGCTGTATTTGTCTGAAGCTTACTGTTTCCTTAACTGGTTTTATTTCCTTATCAGCTACACTATTCTCATAAATCTCTGTCCTGTAAACAGTATAAGCAAGCTTTGCATATCAGAGTCATGAGGATGATCTATTTGCTATCAGTACAAAAAGCTGTAATTTTTTACTGACTCCTTCCCTCTCAGTAACAGTGTCCAATAGAATATCTCCCTGTTCTGTGTTTTAATTGAATCAGATTTTTTAAAGAGAACAGGGTCCCCAACAGAGAGTGGTGAAATACATGAGTTGCACTGTAGGTTAGGACTGCACTCACTAAATACTAACATTATCTAGAAAAGTTATTGTTTATTTCTTATGAAACACAGTTGTTTAAATACATGTACCCTTTCTTTTAGCTAATTTATACACAAATAGTCATTGATTGAACCTACATTTCAAATTAGGTTCAAACTAGCAACCTTTGTCTGACAATTTTAAAGGTACCTGCAGCAAAGAATGTCTATGGGGCACAGCCAATGAAGCAATGAGGTAACAACAACAAAAAAGAATGATTGATTGAATATATTAGAAAAATATACTAAATAAACGCTATGGTACATGAGACAGAGTCAATCTAGTTTAAACAAAAAAAAAAAAGGGTAGGATCTTCAGCTTCTATTCAGAGATTTACTTGACTGCCAACAGCCCATTGGTTTTTCAGGAGCAAGTCAGGATTTCCTCTGAAACTCTTTTCTGTCCTACTTGAAATCAGGCTCAAGCCAGGACTGCCAAGAAAATATTAATCAAAGATTTCAATTTAGTTTAAGTTCCCTGTTAAAGTAACAAACAAATTGGATAGTTGCAGATTACAAGGCACAGAGTAGAATTGAGTGTTACTAACCATTTCTCTTTCTCTCTACTTTGAATGAAAGTTTAGGTACACTTCAGAGAGAAAAGAGACAACTAATATTAGCACACTCTAATTTTTAAATGAAGTAGATAATCCTAAATTGTTTAGAAGGAAAAATATCATCCAATAGAAAACTCTTTTTCTGCATGCTTCAGGAAGTGTAAAATTCTTAGGCTTAAGGAAATTCAGTTAACAAGACATAAGTTATTAGGTTTAGTAATCTTGTTTTTTTAATGAATATATGCATTTTAAAGACTTTTCTACACTAACACAATTATTTAAAGCATGAAAAAAAAATCTAAATACATACAGAAGATTCAGCTTTGACCCATGCGAACTTCAATATACGCAGGGCCTATTAATTCCACCCTCTTCATTCTGAGTTTGCCTGCAGCTACAGACTTGGCAACATGCCCCAGTTTGCCTTGGGAGTCATTAAAGACTAAGTAGGGCCTCTAATCTGGGAGACAGCATAGATGGGTTAATTACAGCAGCATTTTTCTGAAGTATTTGGCACTGGGTTAGCTCTGGAGCACTCTCTAGACTTAAGAGAGAGCCAACTAAGGACAACACTTGCTTTCACAAACTTCACCACACACACTCTCCTGTTTGCATTCACACAATCTGTAGGCAGGGCACTCACAGCCTTCCCAGACTGAGCCCCAAGTACTACTTAGAAGGAACCATGGCTAACATAAAACCATGTAAACCTACTTGGCAGTTCGGACATCCATGGCACCCTTTAGCTTTTCTTCACTGTCATTTTCAAAGTACATCAACCTGGACTGTCTGAGAACAAACCATCTTTTCTTCCAGTTCCTTCTGGAAAGGGTAGATGATCCACCCCCCTTTTTGTGAAGCCAACCCTGCTTAAGTGCTTCCTGCTTAGAACGAAACCACAGGAAGGTCTCATCTTTCAGGACACACCAGCGTCGCTTCCATGTGTTGATTAAGCCACCTGGCAAGAGAGGCAAATGTGGGTTTATATGCAGTTAAAACAAACAGCTGTATCATAAAACAGATGCTGTGAACAGCACCAAAACTGGAAGGTGCCGACCAACAACACTGCAGTTAAAGTGAGTCTCTGCTGTAAACCACAAAACCTTATTTTTGCATATCCTTATGGCCACCAATATTATTGTCAATCTAAACACTCTTAAATTATGAATTGTAGTAAGTCTCTGTATTACAAAAATAAATCTAACATACATATAATTACATGTACATATATATAACATATCTATAGTAATAAATTACTGAAAAGTCTTGCTGCACGAGAGAATCTGATCTTTAAGACAGCCTTCAATGTATTTCAGTGATAATCTAAAAAAGATTTAGCATTCTTTCCTCTCTCCAGGTTATTAGGAGGTAAGGATGTTTAACTCAAATCCACAAAACCTGGCAAAGCCGTGTTTAGAGTATGAAATACACCAGTGTGAGCTCAGTGGCACCAAAGCGTGGCCACAGAGTAGGCAATGCACCTTGCCCTGGAGTTATATCACAGTCATAAAAACCTTAACCAAACTGATAAGCTCCTGTCATCCCACAAAAACTAGCTGCTAGGTGTGTCAAGAAAGTAAAAGTCATGCTACTGTCAACTGCATTATTTTTCACACAAACATTGTGGTATGTACACTCATACACTCATGACTGTTCCTATTCCAGGAACATAAGGTACACTATAGTGATTAAATCATACAAGGATTCAGATAGATTACAATTTGCTATCAATCATCAGAATATAAGCCCAAGGATTTTAGGCAGAGAACTCCTGTGTTTATTCTTTCATAGTCTCTCTTTGCTACACATAACCTTCTTCACATCTTCCAGATCCAAAGTGAAATTTGACCAAGGTCAGTAAAATTGGTCTGCAATGTAGAATGCTGTCTACATTACAAGGTTTTGAGAGCAGGAATCAGCTTTCCTCAACATTTGTTACAATTTGACTTTGTGAGTTATTTTTCTTTATTTATACTGAATATTTCATTGTTTGCAAGCCAGCAAAGATGTAAGATGAAACAAAGGCAGCCCAAAATACTGATCTTTTTTTGCAGAGGGGAAAAACATTGCTAGATGTAAGCCACTGCATGTAACTTTACTTGAGAACAGCTCAATTAATTAAATAAATTATATAAAGTCACTTTTCCATCACCCTTTGAAAAATGAGAAAATAGCTTAACTCTACAGGAATTGGAGTGTAATACACAATAAAAATATTTTCTGTTATTTTGTCCATTTAGCAAATTCTGATTCATCCAGTACCTTTCATGTACAGAAAACTGTGAAAGTAGGGCAGACTGACACAGCTATAGACTGAATCCCTCCGGTAGGAAAGTTCATCATCTGTATCAAACCTGGAGTCAAAATCTTCTTCGCTGTCTTCAAACTACACAAGAAAGGAAAGAAAGGTCATAACATCTCAGAAAAGAGTTTAGATCAAGTTGGTTTAGAAGACTCTAGCTAAAGCATTTTATCATGTATTGGAAGGACATTATTCCTCATTGATTTTCATTCAGCTAACTGAGGATGGAGTACATCATAGTAAGCTGCAGCTTGAACTGTTTGATTACACAACAAATCTGTGTAAAAGCTTTGTAGTTGCTTAGGAAAGTTATCCTTTTGCAAGAGTATGGTAAGCTACCTTGTGCTACTTGTCCTATCACTGAAGTGCTGCAGGGAACAGCTTACAAAAGCATTGGAAAAGGAACATTGCACAAGCTGCGGTACTAGCTTTCCCTCACCCCAGAAAGTCAGAATTTCTGTTCTGTATCTGACACACATCCAAGAGCCATGCAGCAGGTAGGCATCCTCAACAGAGACTCTGAAAGTTTTTTTTCAGGCAAGAATTGTTGACTTATTCCAACAATGCCACAATGACTCTTAGACTGGTTATCACTGCCTCAAACGTGGTAGGTATTATATCGTTAAAGATTTCCTTCTGAACAAGTCAGTGTTCCTGAAATACCTTTTCACCTTCCCAATCAGACAGTCTCACAGAAACACTAGGTGAATGGTAGAGGAAATCATATACTTCCAAAAATATTTGTAGAAGGAAACCCCACAGTATACTCAGTAAACAGCACTGAAAAATTTCTCTGCAGAATGTGTGTCTGCCTTAATAATTTAAACATTTTCCATTGTGTGAACTTTACTCTCCAAATAATCTCAAAATATACCTGGCATGCCAGGGACTTCTGCAAGCATCTTATTCTTCAATACTCTTGCAACTTGTACACATAACTAAATTTGGTTTTCCTGAAATCAATTCTACAACATGCTACCTTGTGCCCCAACTCCAGAGAGAAGAACTTTGCTGTGCACTGAGCTCCTCGCCAAGCAACACAAAGTGCTGCATTAAAACAGTTAAAACCGTATCTGTGCAGAAGCCCAGGACTGCAAACAGCATCTGAGCTGCCTCTGACTCTAATGCACTCACTCCAGTGGCATCTAGATGGCAACAGACCACTATTTCCACAGGCGCTCTGAGCAAATCAAACTACGCAATGTTTTCTAAGAACAGCTACACAGAGTCTATTGCTGCACAGCAGGGAAAAAAAGACTCAGAAAGCACCTATCAATTATTACATAATAAAAACATTGCTACTTACAGAAGACTGAGCTCCCTCAGAGCTGAACCGGTATGCTCCAGAGCTATTGTACGTCCCCACTGAACAGCGGTAGTCCGGTGACCACTGGCTACTGTGTGAGTTAGAGAAGGTCACACTGCTGCCAGAAGTGATAGCACCATCTTCATAATCATCCTGGTCATAATCATAGTCTCCGTCGGGAGAAATAAGTTCCACAGAATTTGGGGGTCTGCAGGACACATTTTCTGGCATGCAGTACGTGGATTCGCCGCTTGAAGAGTTGTGGAGGCTCACTGTGTCATGGGCAGGAGGAATGACCATGGCGTCGCTGGCAGCAGGAATTGTTGGCACCACGGTATCATTCATATAAGGATCCTCTTCTGAGGAATCATCGCTTGTTCTGATGCCACTGGTCCTTTGATCAGAATGGCCATGCTCACTCGGGTTGGGCGAATCCTTAAATGCATCATCATCAGCTTCAAAGCCCTCATCTACCTCTTCCTCGGGATATGGCTGGCTGAAGTTAAAATTGGGCTTTTCACTGCAGGCATTTCCAGTCTGTTCAGCCAGCTCAGCAGGATACCCACTGCCCACAGAGAGAGACCTCTCAATGTTTCGGACACATTCGTCAATCTCATCAAAGTTCAGAGATTCCAGGAACTCCTGGGCTGCTCGACATGCTTCATCCTCAAGCCGCCGGAGCTCCTCATCTCGACGCTGCTGCAGCCTCTGTAATGAAGCCTCTGTCAAGGACAGCTCCTGCTGCTTCTTCACACGCTGCAGGTCTTCGATTTCTTTTTCCAGACGCAGGATTTCTTCCACCTGCCTGCTTTCTTTCTGCTTCTCCACCTCTTTCTTCAGCTCTGCCTCCTTCTGAGCTTTCTGAATGGCAGCCAGTTCCTGCTTCTTTCTCTCTTCTTCAGCCTGCATAAAAATAAAACAAAATAAAATCAAGTTAGGCCCCTAAATGCAAACTTATTTTTAAAAATGTATTTCTCAAGCTCTATACTCCACCATACTCCTTCATTTAAAAGGAGCCCTACCTTCATATCAGTAAGAAATGAAAAGCAAAGAAGAAGAAAAAAATTAAAGCATGATTACATTTCCCCAGAGATAGCTGAGCAGAGCAAGTCCAAATATGTGCAGAAAATTCAATCTTTGCCAGAAATTAAATGAAACATCAGGTGAAGGAAATTTCCATGCAAACTATATTGAGTTTCCTTTGGCTTTATCTGCCAGCTCCTGTAATTAGTTTAGTTTTAATGTTACAGGTACCTTTTATTTTTTTAATTGCTGGGTTGAGATACTCAAATAAACAAGGTGGCTGAAAGCATTGAGAATATCATTTACCTGCTGGGCAAGACGCTCTGCTTCTTGCCTTTGTCTTTCCCTAAAAGTGAGTGAAGAAAAAAAGTCAGTCAATCAAGCTCAACATAAGCTCATAACATTCCTTTACTACAGCAGTAGCTCAGCTTACAGAGATCATCTGCCACCAGGAAAAGACAGCCAAAAATAAGATCACAACGAATATGTTTGTGAATATGAAACTACCATGATAGCTGTATGTGTCTTTTAGCAAAAGCAGCAAAGGTTTCCGAAATCACTTGGTCAAGAATAGCCTGAAATAAAGGCTTTCAGACAAACATCTATTCCAGCACAGGCAGGAGAGTGATGTAAGCCAGGGACTGCACCTTTCCTCCTCCTCTTTTCTTCTTTCCTCCTCTTGTCTCCGCTTCTCCTCCAGTCGCTCCCTGTAAAGACGCCGAGCGAGCTGGCCTCGCCGCTGCTTCTGAAGGACTGTGGCTGCTCTCTTCAGGCACAGGAACTTCTTCCTTCCACTGAATGCTCTGTAGTTCTTCTGTATCACAACCACATAGTAGAGAACCTTTCTATACCGCTTTCTGAGGGGAGAAAATAAAGAAGCAAATTCATAATGAAACAGCTGTGGGGGATCTTGCCATGGTGACCTGCAATAGTGAGCCCATGATAGTTCTAGCTCTGTGATAGTTCCCCTACTGTTCACATTCTTCTCCCTTTGAGAATCAAGATTCTCTCATTTCTTGATAGCACTGTGTGTGTTTTCATTAAGGAAATGCACATATCTTACATGTTCTTATGCCAAGGAGATGCTAAAAAGACAGTTCTGTATGTGCACACATGCAGAGAAATAATATATATATAGTCATCCCACATCTCTGAAAAGAAAGACCATGTGCAGCAGGATAGCTGGCATTAAAAAAGGGATATTGTTTTTAAGTAACATACTGGTCAGAATATAAGAACAGGACTAATAAGCACATGAAAAGAAATTACCTCATTATGCAAACAAGCTTCCTTAAACTGCCCTACACTGACTTGTAGAAAAAGCAGAGAAATAAATGGGTGGGATGAACAACTCCACCTAACACATAATGCATGAAGCCAGGTAAACAAGTCAGACATCAATCAGTAACATAATGTCTTGGCTCTTCAAGAACCAAATGGATTAGTTTTATTTTCCTTCTCTTTTCTTACCATGAAGAAGCAAAGATAAATCAAGATCTCAGCTGGTGACTTGGGGCAGCCCCACTAGGTGCCACCCAACTAGAGTTCCTACCATGGCTTTAATGCCATGATACAATCAGCTGGATACTGGCTGACCTCCAAATTTCTGTATTGTTCTATTCATTATATTAACACAATTTAAACTTTGCATTATTCATGGGTATTTTCAGCTGCTGTTTTCAAAAGCCACTTATAGGACTTGAATGCCTGGTCCCTATGAAAAGTTGAGAATTGTGTCAGACGGATTTAACTTTTTGATAACTCATTCACTTATTTCAAATCCTTACATTAATATTCTCCGGTAGTCACTTACCGGGCTGCATAACCCAAGATGTGTGCTCGGATGATCATTGCTGCCTTGGTGACTTCCACCTCTCGCTGTTTCTCCAACTTGTGTTCTAAGGACTCCCGGAGAAACACCTACATAAGAAAACTTATGGCTTAACAAATTTTGGTGAGCATCATATTTAAGGGAGAGCCAGATCAGTCCAAGCAGCAAGCCTCAGCTTTGAATTCAGAGAAAAATGTACTATTTCCTCAGCAGAAAAGAGAAAAACAAAATGTACTACTCTTAAAAGAAAACACCTGCAGATGATCCTCTAACTTTGGATTTCAGTGGGAAGGGTCAGATTACTCTATTGTAACTTTTAATTAGGAGCAGGGTTTTTCCAAATGTAATGTAATTACTGGATTCATTAAACAGCCTTTCCCAACACAGTAACACAGGCAAAAGAAGTTGCAGGACTTAGCATTAAGAGGGGCAGAAAACCCCTAATCAGAGGGGCAGAAAGACCACCCCGATAATTTACTTTTTTCACAGGCACATCAGGCCCCACAACCCCTTACGAGACTTGCTGCTTCCAAAGACATTGCTACAGAACTGCAGAAGTAGGCAGAAATGAGAGTGCCTTCATGTTCACATCGACTCGACTGTGTTTTCCTGTCACTACATGGAGAGAGCTGCAGGGGCCAGACACCCCACCACAGCCAGAATGCTTTCCAGGCTCTTTTCCAAGCACTAACCTGCATCATTCACCTGCACTGCCTAGTGCCTCTCAGAGGCAGCTTTAGCACATGGCACTGACATAAGCTGAGCTAACACAGCCTATTTTGCCTTAAATGAGTAAAACTGCTTCTCCAGTCAAGCAGGGGCATGGGGGAGGCAGCTTCCCTCTTCCACCTGCCTTGACATCTGCTCTTTACCACACACTCACATAGTGGCGAGCTATCTGCTGTCAGCGCTTTTTCCAGCTCTTCTCAACTTTTCTTTTTTAAAGGCCAAGTATGCTGGTGTCAGCTATGGGTGACAACAGCCTGGCATGCCGCTGCCTAAAACATGGGCAGCTGGAAATAGCCAGCTCAGTGACACTTTGATTATGTGGGATGAGAGCCAGGCTGCACATCACAACGTGGGGATGAGGAAAGCTCATGGACACGGTGGGCTCTGCTAAGGGAGGAGGGCTGCAAAGACATCAAAAAGCAGGAATGCTGAGTGTTTTCTCTTGATGTGGAAAAAAAAACCAAAAACTCAGCCAAAAAATCCTTCACTCCCCACCCCCCCAAAAAACACCCCCCAAACAACCCAATGGACTTTTGGGAGTGTTCACATGCAAGAGAAGCTAGTTTTTCCTCTGTGTTTATGTGAAAAAGAGCCCATCATCATAGCCAAAGCAGCACTCTCGAGGAGAGGCACCGTTGTGAATTTTTAACAAAGCTAGAAAGGGACTTTCTAGCACAAATAACCCAAGAAACGAGAACAGAAAAAGTCCCACAGAAAGTTTTGAAGTCCCAACGTCAGAGCTGCACTGGGCAGCTCTTTCTATATGAAGTTTTCCCTCATGAAAAAAGCCTATTCTTTCACTCAGTAAGCAATCTTTCTTTGCTCTACACACAGATTTTGAAAAACACAACAAAATTCTTCAGAAAAGCATTCAGCTGCTTCTGGAACAAAAATGGATGGTAAGCAGATGTTAAGCTCAGGCTAATGCCTTTTCCTAACCAGATGCATTGCAGCATGAGATGTAAAAGACAAGGAAAAAAATCACACTGAAGCCAAATCATTGCAATGCCATTATTATCCCTTTAAAATAATATAGGGGCAGGATAGTGCCTCATCCCATGTTCAGTCTGAAAGCAGTGTCCTCCTGTGCTCTTCTCCTGTTTATACAGTCTCACAAATGTGCAGGCAGCTCCTGGGGGAGGATGAGCCCAGCCCACAGTAAGGGAAATTACGAGAGAGCTCTGGCTCCTGCCAAGGTCCTGATGAGCAGTTGATAAAAACAATTTCTGATAAACATGTGTCCCTAAGATGCCAAAGCACTCTCCAGGGTCCCTGCATAAATACTGTTAATATGCTACATCTGAAATAGACTGGGATGCACAGCCCAATGCTACCACTGTGCTATTTGTAAGCCATTGGCTACAAAAATGGGATGGAAGATGACATCAATTGCCATTAGAATATTTCTGATTCTTTCTTCTTTCTTACAGTAAGATGATTAAAACAACTTTCCCAATGCAAATCTAAGAGTCCTTAAGCATACAGAGGAAGAGAAGAAACCCTTCCAAACCATCGAATTGTGGGGAGAAAAGGGGGAAGAAATCAATAAGATTTTACAAAATATATTTGCTACCTTATGGCACTAAAAAGCATTTTAAAATAGTTTTTAATATTTAGGAGATCTCAAATCCCGAAATGAGGAATCTTCTCCCAAGTCTGCAATGCTTTCACATCATTTGCTGAAATCCAAGAACACAAATCACAAGCTGTGGTCTCCAATCAAACTTGCAAAATGAGCACGTAAAAACACCTGGATTGTTTATTTCTCAAATTAAAATTTGATTCCTTAATTTATTCTAAAATAATTTGATGTTTTTTTAAGAAAAAAAAGTGGGCAAAGTTCAGGTTGTCTGGTAGAACCTATAGCAAGGTCTAATGTACCTCTGGAAAAGACTCTCAGACTAGGATGGCGAACACACTTGGAGCTCAATTCTACCATGTGAACACTGGCTAAAATTCTCCCCCCGATTTCTGCCACTGAAGAGGTATTGGTTAGGTCGGTTTACTAGTATGAGTGGAGCTCTCTGTAGAACAAAAGTGTTATCCCATGTTCCATACTTCTAAAAATGAAAAAATCCAAATACCACGTTTTAAGTTCTGATCTTCACCAGTGCTACCACTTGCAAGCAGTGACAGAAAATTCAGGTGGACTCTCTTTGTGACCGAAATCACCAGTCAGTTTTTATGTGCCTTAGACAGCAAATTCCTCAGTACAACCATTTATTGTTGCTTTAAGAGTTTCAAGAGCACCAACAGGCATGCACAGCTTCTTTAAAGGCCAGAAGTAACTACCATTAGAACTGCATCTCTACATTACAACTACATCTCTGCAGCTATGCAGTCTAAATCCTGTCCCCTCAGCTTTGTATATGCACCAGCACCACAACATGCACAGTCAGGTTATTTTACCTTATTTTTTCCAAGCTGCCATTCAGTGCTTGTGTTGTCATACAGACGAAGTAAGACAGCACATTTCTCATTTAAATCTTCAGGGAGAGTTAAGTTTCTCATGAGGACTTTATACCTGGCAACCAAAAAGTATTTATTGCTTCATTTAAGAGAGTAAGTTCTATTTTTGCCATATGATTCTTTTTACTTTTATTACTCAACATGGGAATATTGACTTACACTTGAGTCCACAAGTTAGTGTGTTTACCTTTTATAAAAGTCTTGAAAGGGCCTCCGGACTGGGAAACCAGCCCTCCGAATCCTGACCGTCTCCAACATCCCAGAATAGCGCAGCTGGTTGAGCACCACTGTCTGATCAAACTGGTCTGGCATCTGAAATGAGCAGGTTCAAAACAACAATTTTAATAGCAATGGTTAGAGATGTCAGGGGAAATAAAGAAAGGCAGATTGTATGAATCTGAAATGCACAAAGCCTAATAACTGGCTACACAATGTCTTAAAGGATATTAGCAGCTCAGAGCATATAAAAATACCTACAGAATGGAAATCACAGGTTGATTACAGAATATAATTTCAATAGAAAGAGCATTTACAGCCATTTAATCTAATAAACTGTCTCTTTCCATTTCATGTGCAATTGTAGGCTATTGCTGTGCAGGGAGAAACAGAAAGAAGCCCAGGCAGCTAACAGGTCAACAGCTATAAGTTTGACTGTTTTGTTTCTTCAGCAATTGAATTTAAAGTTCCTGTAGAGGATACCAAATATTGAAGATACACAAATACAAGCCATATGGATTTAATAAAAAACAAAACCAGAAGGACAGAAAATATTCAATTTTTAGTGTATTGACAACTGTCTGCTATGGATAAGGAGGAAACTTTTTGTCAGTGGTACCTCAAATCTTAAATAAACTGTATTTAAAAGAGTTTCTATTTACTGCTATTCTGAACAGTAGAAATATTCTCATCTGTAAACAGACCCCCCCTGTTCCCTGCTTATTTGAAGTAAGTTTCCCTTTGTTTGCCTGTAGTTCTTTCAGCATTGTTTTCCATTTAGAAAACAGACAACCCCACAGCCACTCAGTTATGGAAACCTGTGAATACTGATGTGGCAGTATGGTTCTGCCATTGGGAGCCTCAGGAATGCTCTCATCCCATCTGAGAACCCCCCAAGTCACCTGTGTTTTCACCACGGTTTGAGGTGACCCAGACAGAGCCATGCAAAGCTGCTCAAGACAGCACTAATTGCTGCCTGGCAAAACACAGGCAACCCCCATTTGGAAATCCCACCACATGTAAACATACCATTTAATTCATCAGCATGAATTATCATCATCCACTTTAACCCATCAGCTCATCCTCCTCTGCAGTCATTTGCAGAGGTGGAGCACAGTGTTCAATATTTTGCAAGTTTGGGAGGTGGGATCTCACAGCTACAGTCAATGGTTCACATAAAGATCTGAAGTTCTTCAGCTGACAGAAATGACAGTAAGATCAAGCCCTGGGAAACTGTCAGTAAGAGCACTGTTTTGGTATTTATTAACTGGCTTTAATCATGCCTCTTGTTCAACTTGGCAAACAAATGACTTCCCCATATTTTAACCTGACAAATAAATTCAACTAAACAAATAAATTACACCCTCAAATTTGAACTTTTTATAAAAAGTACCTTCAGGAAAGCACAGACTCAAAAGTTAATTTTAACTATCCAGTACAATCTTTTCTATCAGTGCCTGCATTCGTGAAACAAAACACTGTGTGCTAGTGGTGACACCAAAGGGAGAAAACGTCTCTGTGAAAGATGCGAACAAACTCATCTTCCTCAAAAATGTTTCATTTGGATTTTGCCACCATGAGTAAAATCTCTGTATTTCAGTGAACACGCAGCATGAATGCTTTCAGTGAGGGAATTGATATTGTCATGGCTGGTATTGCCAACAGTTTTTCCTGTATGTGCCCACTGTATGCCATCCAAGCATCAGGGAACCATCCCGACAAAGCTGCCCTTTGCATGTCCACTTTCCTTTTGCCTGCCTCTTTCTGTGCAGGTGGCTGATGATGTCTGACCTTGTCTTGTTGGGGTTTGCACAGCTCTGAGACTGGACCAGCTGGGGGATGTGGCAAAAGAAACAAGGATGGGAACGACGGAGATGCCCCAAAAGAAACTTTAATAAGGACAAAACAATAAAGGACAAAAGCCGTGCACTGTATAGGGTGATCTCAGAAGACCCCAAAGTGGGGCAATCACAGCAATATATGACCTAGGGTCCAGGGTAGTGAGCCAATGAACAACAAGAACTCAGAACATTACCTCATATGTAAAACATAACCATCCAATCATCAATGAGAACTAGGAACATAACCTTATATGGAACTACCTCATTTACATAACAATTCCCAGAATCCCATTCTTCTCACCATAACCAGCTAATTGTTTCCCATAGCCTAGTACTTCATTTCTGAGGGACTCAAGTTGATGGCCACTTCATTGTCCACCAAGGCCAGCTCACTGTCAGTCCCTGCCACTCTAACTCCCACATGATGGGAAAAGCAGGGAATGGACACAGATGTGCACACAGAAATTGTAAGGAAAAGCTTTTGATCTTCACCTCCCGTAACTCAAGGCTCATGCTTGTCACAAGCTCTTTTTTTTTCTTTAACACCAAAACTACTTTTAGTCCTTTTACTCCACTCAAACTTGCTGGCTCAAAAGGCGACGTTGTTCTCAAGACTTGCAAACACAACAGTATTTTTGGTGTGCTGAGTTGGGGAGGAAGATGCATGGATGGGAGTGGGGATATGCCACAGCCAGGCAAAATGCTGTTGACACAACAGATGTCTCTCTCACTAGGCAGCCTCTCTCTCTGCAAGGGAGCAGCTCCTGCTTTGAGAGACAGATGGCTGCTATGCCACCTAAACCTTTTATTGCCACCTCCAGGCACATAACAAGCCAAAAGTCAGCACCACACCTGGCTTGAAAGCTCATATCACTGTTTAAAAAGAACCTGAGTCACAGAGGAAGAAGAAACATTTTGAAAACATTTCCCCTACAACTACAGAAATTTGAAACAGCCCTGCTGTGTCCCCAGAAAGTGGAAATGTCACACAGATACCTAACTTCAAACACCTGCATTTTTAAAAAAAGCATTAAACATTGCAAGAGATGTTAGCATGCAATCAACACAGGACTACATGGAGACCATGGCAACTTTAATCAAGCATTTTAAATGCCTACTCCATCACTTTACATTACTCTATTTTTAATTACTCACAGACACATGAGACATTAAATTGAAGGGTCAAATCCTCCTGGCATACCACTGGAATTACATCTGCAACAAGTATGGCTGCTTTGAGTAAACCGAGGGTTGGTGATAGGAGATGTGCTGGACTCATCTCTTATGCTTTTCAGTATGAAACACTAAAAGACTACCCCCACCCCCTCACAGCAGGGATAACCTTAAGCATAACTTCCAGCAGGATTCCTCACAATTAAAAAAATCAATTGTGTATGCCTTTATTGAACCAGAGTGCAAAAACTGCACATATCCCACTACTGAACTATAAACACTTCTCAGACAGAGTGACAACCCCCTCCACTTGGACATTGCTTGGTGCAGCAATGAGTTAAACCTGTCATGGCATCAAATCTCCATGCAGAGGGTTACCTGTGCAGCTGATGATCAGCTTTCCCTCTTTACTGGTGCTCCTTCAGACTTCCTGTGGTAAGCAAGCTAACTTTCCAATTGATACCAAACTAATACAGGACTCAGCCCTGGGGTCTGCCGAATTTCTACCAGTACTGCTGTTAAAGCTTGACTTGGTTCACAAATGAACACTTGGGAACCAATTGTTTTTTCTAGGAAAATCTTCAAATAGACAACAGTACATCTTCCACAGTAAAAATTTGAAGTCATTCCTAAAACTGAGACTCCTGCAAAGTAAGATCAAATTTACAAAAGAGAAGGCAACAGAAAAGAAAGTCAACAGCTTCCAAAATTGTCTCTGAGATGCAATCAACTAAATTTTCAATAGATATTTCACTCTTATCATGGAATGGCAGTGCTGAACCACTCCAGTACACAAAATTATTGGACAATAGCTAGAATCACATCAGTCAAGTCATGTTAGGGCAGTGAGCAATATCAATGTGAAATTACTAACTATAAGCGAGGTCTGTTCCACATGATATGGGTGCTTTTTTTTGTGGTGCAGACACAACTTGTAATTCATGATTTCCTGGATCCAAAAGTCTCCACTGAATTTGTGCCAGACAGCACCAAAGCCAAGACTTTAATATGACCTGGAGTGTCAACTGGCGAGACTTTGGTTCCTTGAGCTGCTACATGCTTGCTCTGATCTGTAGTGAGTCTCGCAAAGGGCAAAGCTTCTGCCTGAAATCACAATTAGAAGCAGCCATTAGGACAGACATCTAACACCTACACATAATTTTAATAATAAAATAGTTCTTCAGATTACAGCCTGACTGAGCTTTAAGAAAAAACACCATCCCCTTTCCTTGGACGGTACCCTTAGTGAAGACCCCAAGCTCTGAATAACACAGAGAACACAGCACTTCTTTGTTCTTTGCATCACTTGTACAGAAATCAATCATCTGCTGAAACACAGAGCACACCTGACTTCCCCCTGTGGAAATCCTTCTTCCTGCCTGAACTCCTGGCTGCCTCACCAGAGTACAGGCACAATAATGACAAATTACAGCAGCCTCACAGACTTTAGGTAGGCAGGAGGGAGTTCACAGAGAGACTGGCAAGACTGATAGGGATGAGACGAGAGAGGGAAAAAAATCCCACTCCCTTGTTTCTAGATTTCTCTGTAAGAACTTGAGCAGAACTATGTAAGCTTTCCTACTGTGTCTTAAAACTGCTGATTTTCCTGGCTTAGGAGAGTCTTTTGTGGAAGATGGATGCAGAGAAAGAAAAGATGAAACAGATAAGATGCAAAAAAGGAATTTTAAAAATTTAAACACCAGTAATTTTTTTCGATGTCTTAGTTTCTTTAAATCTGCTCTTTTACTCCTAATATGAAATCCTGGCAGTTTTACTCTGGAGAAAACTATCAGAAATTAAAAAGAGGTCAGTCTTTCTCTGCTTTATAGGGAGTTTGGAACTTGTTTTCACATATAAGTGTGTATATTTTGTCAGAAATAGCAAGATTTACTAAGCTAGATGTTTCTGAAATGGTCCCCATGGTGTTCTGATTTCAGTCAACACCTCTACGAGTCAAAACAAATGCCAGGCTTTCCTCACAGAAAGTCTGAAAAATGTGACTAATTAAATTTCCAATATTTATAATCTAGCTGAACCAATATGAAGAATTCTGCATGTCCATTGCTTGCCTTTTTTAAAACA